TCCCTGAGCAGTCCAGGATGGTTTCTTTGGTGGGGACCCAAACTGCTGTTTCTGACTAATTAGATCAGGCAAAGGTTCAAAGCTCCCAGAAACCTGCCTCTGGCTGCAGACTGATTAGATTCAGTCTGGAGTAGCCTCAATCAGTCTTCCACTGGTTGAGCGAGAGGTTTTTCAACAGTTTGGGGCGATTGTTTCTGCCTGGAGGCTAATTGTTATTCTCAGTCTCAGATACTCCACAGGGTGGAGCAAGGGATTTTTCCAATAGTGTGGTCAACTGTCTTCCTCCCAGGCCAAAATTGCAGAATAGCAAAGGTTTGCCTGAGAGATGCCCTGTGTAGCATGAGGGAATGACTCAGCACAGGAAACTGGGGTGTCTGCCTTCCAAGTTCTAACCCCAGATCCCCCAGCCCTGGCTTATGTTTATACCAGGGGTCCTCAAACTTTTTAAACAGGGGGCCAGTTCACTGTCCCTCAGACCGTTGGAGGGCCAGACTATAGTTTTAAAAAAACTATGAATAAATTCCTATGCACACTGCACATATCTTATTTTGAAGTAAAAAAAACAAAACCGGAACAAATACAACATTTGTATTTGCATGTGGCCCGCAGGCCGTAGTTTGAGGACCCCTGGTTTATACAATTCCAGGTCACTTTGTCCTCCTTCTGCTAGAGACCAAGGTGAGTGTTGTGCATTGGCCCTTTAAGAGGGTGCTTGCACTTCCAGCCATCTCTCCCTGGCAGACAGCAACCCTGCTGGTTTTCACAGTCAGATGTTACGAGGGCACCTTTTTCAATTCTGGTGCTCTCTGCTGGGAGGTAGAGGGACAGCTTAGGGATTAGACCCCAGAGTTCTCAGTGACAACTCCCTACAGCTGAAATATCTCTCCAGAATTTCAGCGGTTGTCTGTGGAAGCCTTGCCAGCCATTTCACGCCTCCACCCTTCCTACCGGTCTCTATGTGGTCTCCACTTTCTGTCCTTGGTTATCAGGGTTGTCTCCAGCTAGTCTTCAGCTGATTATTCAGGGTGGGTTTTTTTGAAAATTTTAGTTGTAATCACAAATTGGTCCTGGGAGCATGTCTGTGAAATTGCACTTACTCCGCCTCCACTTTTAATTGCTATTATCGATTTTTCAATAATAAATGATATTTAGAAAATAGTTTCATCTTTACCCTTGCTTCCATTCATTTCATTTCTTCTCCCATGAAAGTTATCACTTGTATTAGTTTCATGTGTATCCTTCTAGAATTACTTCTTATAATTATTAATATGCTTATTTCTCCCCTTTATTATACACACTATACATAGTGATTTGAACCTTGTTTTTCTCAATTACAATATGAGAAAAATTAACACTAAAATAGCATATTAAAGCCCTTTTGAGAATGAAATAATTTTAAAGTATGACCAAAATCTATACTGAGAAATAGCATTATTCTAATAGTAAAATTAAACAGAATGATATTAAATTACGGGTTTCTAACTACAAAAAGTTAACTTATTTTTAACCCTAAATCAACATTTTGGCTCCCAATCACTCACTTCTTAACCATTTGGAAATTATTAAGTATTTTGTAATGTAACAGCTTTCCTCTTTCTTCATCTACATTTCTCAAGTAACAAAAATGTGTAAATAACCTTTTGCCTTAGTCAGTGACTTACCCTTTGGGCTGAAAAGTTAGCATTACTGCTGTAAGGAAGTCTCTGACTAATGTATCTCCATATTGGAAGAAACTACTGAATATAGAGGAACGAGGGAACAGAAAGATAATTTATTGCAGAATCCAAGTTTAGAAATTCAAACTATCTAAATGGTATAAAAATAACCAAAAATTCGATGCTTTTGATATGTAACAAAATCAGATCACAAGATAGTTTAAAAAAGAATGATGCAATGTTGAAAAATGGTAACTTTGTTCACTCCAAAACATCGGATATTAAACCTTGCCTGCTCCTGCCTGGAGCCACAGGTTCCCCACCCACTCCACATCCAAAGTGAGATGCAGCCACACACTGACAGAGAGGACATGGGCAAAGTGATGTAGCCAGGCTCCAACTGGGGCTGCTGCTTCTGGTGTTGCTCCTACCCATGCAGATTTATTCAAATCCAACAATTGCTTCATCACCTTCCAGTAATCCCTCCCACAAAACCTTGACTACTCCAAATCCATTGAGTACCACCACTAAGGCAAGTGGCAGTGCTTTGCAGTCAATAGCCAGCCTCTCAGCAATCTAGTTCTATCTCTACACCTCTATTGTTAAAAGATTCAGTCCAAGAAATGTCTATACTTCTCCATCTTCCAAACCCAATCCAAATAGAATCTAGATATCCAGTGTGACAGAGAAAAAACAGGTCTTCATTGAATCTGATAATTCCACACCTAATTTTATTGACATAGAAAATGTTGGGGATCCCATATTTGATTGGTTTAAAGAACATGTGCAGGGTCTGACTAGATCATGAATGTTGATATTAAATTTGTAGCAGTTTCATTTACAAGATGAAGAGACACATCCAAAATTAGTTCAGAGATGATTTCCTTAAATGTGGCTTAAGTATGGACACATAAAATTCTATTTTGAAAATGAACAGATTTTATTTTATCTAGAGATAAGGGATGGGATTTGGAACAGAGTCAGATTTCAATTGGTTCATTAAAGCTATAAGGCCATAAAATGGGTAATGTAAAAAGCTTCCATGGTTCTATTTATATGTACATTAGAAGGAATTTCCAGGTATTCCTATAAATCCTCAATGTATTGTTTCACAATACTAATTTAATGTCCATGTAACTCTAGATAAAGTTTTATATTGTTAACTTATCACTTACCATTCTCTCAGGCACTGAACTCTTTGATTTGACATTGCATTTGACTTTTTATGTAGTAATTGATATGTACCAATATTTATAGGTCTTTTTTCCCTCCTTCCCCACCTCATTCCAGAATCTGTCAATGATGTATTGGAATCTACTCCAAATCCAACTATAATGAGTAAATTGTGCTTATATACTTATCACTCCCCTATTCAACAAGAGTACCAGATTCATTTTGCTAAACTAATTCCAAGGAGTTGAAGTACATGAACCTCAACTAATTTCAAAATTCTTTTTATTGCTGCATATATTGAATACTTTTTACAATTTAAGAAATGATTTGTTTTGAAGGTAAAATTGACAAATCTTAAAATTAAAAAGGCAAATATGTGAAGTTTTTTCACTCAGTCGCCAACCCCCTTTTTACCTCTGAAAGCTCTCAGTCTGTTCTCTATGAATATGTTTCTATTTTGTTAGTTTATTTTGTTCACCAGATTTCACATATAAATGAAATCATAGTGGGCTGGGTGAAAAAGGTGAAGGGATTAAGCAAAGGAAAAAAACCTCTTATACACATATAACAGTATGGTGATTACCAGAGGGAAAGGGGGGTGACGGGAGGTAGAAGAGGGTAAAGGGGGGATAAATGGTAATGGAAGGAGATTTGGGTTGGTGAACACACAATACAATATACAGATAATGTGTTATAGAATTATAACCCTGAAACCTATATAATTTTATTAACCAATGTCACCCCAATAACGTCAATAAAAAAAAAGACTGGAAGCTTAGTTACATTAAATTCAAAAAAACTTTTATACTTTCTGTACAGACTTTTCAAAATAAAACTATGAATCAGAATAGCCACATTTGGAACACTTTCTTTTATTGGTCAATATTTTTATATAGTTAGAACATGATCCTAAGCCTAATGTGGGCTTGATTCTGGAAAGTAAATATTTTCACAATTGCCTCAATGCACAGAAACTCTTTTGAAAATAGACATTCTCTAAAGTCTTGTTTTGCATGGTCACACACTGATGCTTAGATGTTCCAGTATCTAATAGGGCCACAGTAGTGTTGATAACCATAGTAATTTTTTTCCATCTTTGGAAACCTACTTAGCAACACCATATCCAAATATCTCAAGTTGCCATGTGTGAATGAACATTCCCCTTTGTTTTATACCTAAACTAGAGGTCCAGTGCACAAAATTCGTGCACTGGGGGGTGGGGGTCCCTCAGTCCAGCCTGCCCCCTCTCACAGTCCAGGAGCCCTCAGTGGATGTCCCACTGAAGGCTTAGGCCCGCTCCCCTATAACGCGTGTCATAGGTTCGCCATCACTGCCCTAGGACCTCCCCCCAAATCTTCACCCTTAAAACCCTTAGGATGGAGGACCCAGCACACTCTCCCTTCTTTCTTCCCTCCCTCCCTAAAGCACACCAGTGCCTTTCCCTTTACCTTCTCCCTCCCTTTCTCTCCCCTTCCTTCTCTCACCACAAATGTCACCATTTCCTTCCTTATTTCCAAGATCCAAGGGCCCTTGCTTTACCTCTATAACTTGTTTCTTAAGCCCATTTATTCTAGGAATTACTCTTTCTACCTCCACCATTTACCAAATAAATGTTCAGAGTGTTCATTTGAATCTTGGCTCTGAATTCTTTCTTAGCCAGAACTCAAGTACTGAGGTTGTTGAACCCAGGTCAGTTCTGACCCCATCAGTCTAACACCCAGTATTGTTCCTGCTGCTTACAACAACAACAAAACACACACACACACGCATGCACGCACACGCACATGCACACACACACACACACGCACACGCACATGCACACGCACACGCACACACACACAAAACACACACGCGCACACACACACACACACACACAAAAACACATGGGAAATTACTGACCTAAATGAAAACAGTTATAGCTACCAGGGCTGAGAAAAACAGCAAAACTGTAAAAACTGAACAAATAAGTAAATGATGGCTGGCATTAACGGACAATGAACAAAATAACTGGCCATAGGCATAGCCTTCAGTCACTAATGGCACAGCCTCCAAGTACCCTGGCCTCTTACTATGAGATTTCATTGCCAGTGAGTCAAACATTCTTCATAACACTAAATACATCATAAAACAATGTTTTTAGAATTGAAAAGTTCAAAGCCAACTCTCACTTACCTTCCCTGTTAGAACGGAGGGAAATTCAGTATCAAACTTGTTGCTCAAGCCAAACCTTAAAAACAAAGACAGAACAAAATATATTCTACCCAGCATATTTAACTCTCTCCCATTAAAAAAAAAAGCCATGCATTTTTCTTTTGATGTTGTGATTTTAAAACATGTCTTAAAAATAATTTTCTATTTATAGAAAATAACTATTTGACTATTAATAAAAGAAACTAAGTAGATCCATGATATGGGATTAAAAATAATGATTTAGAGAAACACCGATAAAGAGCTGGAAATATACTTTTTTACTGAAATGGTTCTGTTAAAACCCACTTTAGCCCAGCTGGTGTGGCTCAGTGGTTGAGCATCGACCTATGAACTGGGATGTCACAGTTTGATTCCTGGTCAGGGCACATGCCTGGGTTGCATGCTCAATCCCCAGGAGGAAGGATGCAGGAGGCAGCCGATTGATGATTCTCTCTCATCATTGATGCTTCTGTCTCTCTCTCCCTCTCCCGTCATCTCTGAAATCAATAAAAATATATTTTAAAAAACACACAAAAAACATTTTAGTTGATAGTTGTTGGGATTGGCTGATGGATGTATGGGAGAGTGGATTTTACTATTCTTTCTACTTTTGTGTATATATGAAAACGTTCCTAGTAAAAACTAAGAAAACCTTTGGAACCATAGACTGACAACTTATAATCAGTTACTATTCAGAAACTCAAAGGTTGATCCTTATGAATGGCTTTTATGTATATGTTCAACCCATTTTAAGAAAACAGATCCCAGCCTTGAAAGCTCTTGACTCTCTTTAAGTATGCTCACTGAAATCTGTACTAGGAAGTCAAAATGAATTTTATAAGCCTTGGTTCACCTACTTGTTGATTTCAGAAGACATAACAAAGGTCACTTCCTGCATGCTAGTGATATATCATAGTGGCCACAATTTTTGTTAGTGATTTGATGGGTGTAAGCAAAAAGGAAGAGATACTAATATTTATAGAGAACCCTTTAAGAAGTAGGCAATAATAAAAAGTTACTGGTAACTATGAACTTACCATGAGCTAGATACTATGCTAGGTAAAAAGACTACTATTTCTAGACTTTACAACGCTACAGGAGAGGTATTGTTATCCTGGCTTTACAGATAAGGAAGCTGACACTCAGAAACCTTTTTTTTTTTTCAAAAAGTAATGAATTAGCCAAAACCGGTTTGGCTCAGTGGATAGAGCGTCGGCCTGCGGACTGAAGGGTCCCGGGTTCGATTCCGGTCAGGGGCATGTGCCTGGGTTGCGGGCACATCCCCAGTGGGGGGTGTGCAGGAGGCAGCTGATCGATGTTTCTCTCTCATCGATGTTTCTAGCTCTCTATCTCTCTCCCTTCCTCTCTGTGAAAAATCAATAAAATATATTTTTTTTAAAAAAAGTAATGAATTAAATGACTTGCCCAAAGTTATATAAATACTAAGGGGTGAACCAAAATTCAAATGCCAATCTTTACGTTCTTTTTGCTCCTGGAAAACAGAAACTACTGTTTATTTATATTGCTATCATCCATTATTTTTAGTAGCATAATGTTATTTTATAGATGTTTAATAAAAGTTTTTTGAATAATAACCTACTATACTTTTTGATTTAACTGATTTATGGCACTTTGGTCGTAGGGTCACTTAAAAGACGTTAAGAATCCAATGTCCTATTAAAACTCTATGTGAGAATATTATATTCTCCTCATATTATTATTATGGTAATAGCTTATTTTCAAGGACACAAGCCAATCAAACACAAGGACTCTACTAGCACATATCTAGTAGCAAGGCACATATCTGTGCATAAATATACTATACCTGTATGTTTAAAATGTATTTTACAACAATAAATTCTGTATTTTAAAACAGTGGAGAAAATTAGTTAGCAAGTGAAAACAGAATTTAACTTTATTTAAAAAATACTTAATTACTTTTCCAGGTGTCAGTACAACATATAATGAGAACATAGCATTCTCATAATAACATTCCCTTTAAATCTATACATAGACATAGGCGCATAGCCAAACTTAAAAAAACAAGATAGTACACTCTGTTTTCATAGCAACTTTCAGATGCTGTTTGAGAAACTGACATTCTACTATTAAATATATATTTTCAATTATCCACTAACTCAGAAATCAATAACATGACAAATATTTAGTAGAGCAAAAAAACATTTCATTTAAATCAGATGTAGCTAAATAGTGACTTTATCACTAGTCAAAAAGATATAATTTAACTTTTTATTCCACAAAGAGTAAATTCATATTGTGGAATATATACAGGTTTCATTTTAGAAAGTAGACATGATGCATTTTAAAGTAGAGCTCTATTTCCATATCTTGTCTAAATGTCTTTTATTGTTTAAAAAATATTTATTGTTGAGCTAAATGCCTTTTAGATGCAATGTCAATAACATGTTCCTACCTCCATTAGATTGCTGTCATTTTAACTTTTTCCAGCTGCCATTCTTTTACTAGATATCAAGTATGTAGAGGATATAGACATATATAACCCCCAAAATGTGTGGATTATTTCTATTATTTAAAAAAATTCTTAGTTTTGTTATTATCTCTTTGCATTTATCACAAGACAAATGAACTTTCCAGTTTCCAGTTCATCTTTTCTTCTTTATTGCCAAATTCAGTGTCCTCTTCTCAGAACGTTCCCCTTTGACTTTGCAGCTTGTGACACTGTTGATCACACCCTTCCTAACACTCTTCCATTCTTTCACTTTCCTCTAACACTCTTGCTTTCCCCCCAAATTTAGCTTTTAATTATCTGCTTTTCTTTCTAAGGAAAGTATACCAATTTATCTATATTTAATAGCTTTGACAATTACTTCTATGCTGATAACAATCAAATCTATATCGCTAGTTTTATATTTTCCAACCTGCTCTAGTCCCTCATCTCTAATTGAACACTGAAAATTTCCATTTGGATATCTTGCTGCAAAATAATAATACCACAAGTCAAACATGTCTAAAATTAAATGTTATCTCTTATTGGAAACTAGTTGCCCTTTTTAAATTCCTCATCTCTATCAATCGCACATTGACTCTCTTTAACCTAGACTTTGGTATAGGTTTTGCACCTTCCTTCTAGTTTGGTTTTTGCATTACTTTTATTCAGGTGGTTCCAAGTGAAATCATTCCATAATGATTCCTCCATTTCCAGTGCCACTGCTATGTTGGCTCTTGTCTTTGCTCATGTGGTTCTTCTTGCTTCTTCTCTCTAGTTTAAATCCTATTCAGACTTCAAGGCTCAAGTCAAGTGCCAATGCCTTGAATGCTCAAGTTTTAATGGATTCCCCCTTTTTCTGAACACTCAAAGTCACTTATGTGTACTATACAATTCAACCGTTAATTAATTTCTTAAAAATATCTTAAAGGCAATTTTTCTGTTAGCTTTTTTTGTTAATCCTCACCCGAGGATATTTTTTCCATTGATTTTTAGAGAGAGTAGAAGGAAGGGGGAGAGATAAACATCGATGTGAGAGAGAAACATCAACTGGTTGCCTCCTGCACATGCCCTGACTGGGGCCAGGGATGGGATCGAGCATGCAACTGAGGTATGTGCCCTTGATGGGAATCTAGGCTCTATATCTAGGTCCCCTAACCTGGGACCCTTCAGTCCGTGGGCTGATTCTCTATCCACTGAGCAAAACCGGCTAGGGCTCCTATTAGCTTTTTAAAGCAAGGCCTGTACTTTGTTTTTCTGTATTCTCCACAGTGCTTAGCTCAGTGGTCAAGTTCTCAAGAAATACGTGCTATATTCAAATTACTGTTTCTATTCTAATATAGAAAGGAATTCATTTTTCTAAAATATAAAAAGTATATTAGAAATAATAAGGAAAGCAGCATTTTGCTTCTTAAAAACACTGTTTTATGGCCTACATACATCTACTTCAAAATGGTATATTTATAGGCAAACTAGGCCCAATATACTTTCACAATTTTAGCTAAAAGGTAGTAGCAGTCTTGTTCTTGCCTACTAGAGATTTCTTCCTTAACTTTCTCTATTAGAGTCTTAGCACTTTAAAAGACTACTTAACTGAAATAACCTTAAGCACAACATTTCACTTAGCAGCTATTAAAAAATGTTGAAATGGCTGCTGCTGAATAAAAACCTCAGCTATTTCATAAACAAACCATTAAGAACCGTGAGTCCATCTCATGGTTAGAGAAGCTTATCTACCCATTAATGATCAGTTATAGGGTTCTTTAGCATTAGACAAATAGGTACTGGGAACTGCTCATGCTGTCATTTTATTTGCTTCATTAAATATAGAGCCTACTATGTGTTTGAGATGGACCCAGCTGGTGGTTCCTAATGATTGTATTTTATTTGTCAAATGTCTTCAATGCTTCAAATTTTTAAAACATATATTTTTATTGATTTCAGAGAGGAAGAGAGAGGGAGAGAGAGATAGAAATATCAATGACGAGAGAGAATCATTGATTGGCTGCCTCCTGCACATCCCACACTGGGGATCAAGCCCACAACCTGGGCTTATGCCCTGACCAAGAATCGAACTGTGACTTCCTGGTTCATAGGTCAATGTTCAACCACTGAGCCATGGTGGCTGGGCTCAAATTTTAATTTCTTGGACAATTCTTTAGAGTAAGGCAAAGAAGGATGGGTCCTCTTAGATGCTCTTCCCTCTTCTCTCCTTCCCTATACCCCTGTTTATAATCTTTTTGAAAATGGCTATATATCAGCCTTTGAAAACCTTGCACAAATTGAAGTTCATGTGCTCAGGTTGTTTAAGAAAACAAATCAAAGCGTAGTAAAATTCTGCTAACAAGAAACATGATTTAACTAGAAAACTATGCACTTATAGTAACTCTGATTCTAGAGCATGTGCACTGAACTTTATTTATTATACCAAGGAAAAGTAAAATTTATGCCACACAATTCAAAAAGATTTTTAAAATATATTGTTAAATTTCTTTAATCTTTTAGATGGAAACAATCATGTCTTGCCACACTGTAAAATGGCAGGTGTTACCATAGCTTCCGTATTCTCA